GGGGGGGGGGGGGGGGGGGGGAGAGATGATCCCACTTACTTTGTGCACCTCTTTTGGAATGGTTGAAATCAGAGTCTTTGATGGCTGAAGTTGGTGAGATGAATCCCACACAAAATACCTAAAATGGTATTATTATCACAACTTGTCCTTTTCTCGAAGAGAGATAGCCATGGAATACTAGATTCCCCAGATCTGGCTTACCAGTGGTTAAGTCAAAAACCAGAGGAGGAGATACAGCAATTCTAAACCTTGGTAATTATCTCTAGCAATGAGGACAACGGGCAACTCTCTGCTGCTACTGACAAAAAGAAAGTCAAGAATGATCCTCTATTCCTCCTCAATTTAGAGTTCAACAATAAGGTCAAGATACTTCCCAAACAACTGTAAAAAAAGCTATACAACCTGGAATCTCATACACTGTTGTTGGTCTACTAAAAAAGCCACAAATTAGGGAATCCTGGTAGGCTGATAATATCTGATGAGGGGACTGGTAATAAAGAATTACCGGGTTCATCAGAGCCATCTCCAACACCCCTTGTTAACTAAATACTTTCTAGTAATACATTTCTGCAAGCTATGACAGACTTCTGCCATAGAATACATAACGTGAAACACCTCTACATCAATGCTGCTCTGGCTATTGGGTATGTCATTAGCTTGTAAATCAACAATCCAGATCATGATAGCATCAAAACTTGACCTGAATATTCTTGAGTGAGACCAATATACAGCATATCAGCCTGAAGGCAGTGGCAACCTTATTTATTTTATCCTCACTGACAATTTTACTTTCAACAGCCCACATTTCCTCCAGCATATGAGAAGAGACATGAGAGTTAAAATGACCTGCAAAATGCCAGCCTTTTCATGGGACGCCTGTAGAAAGATTTCTAAGTAAGTTTATACATTCTGTCACCAAGCTTAACCTGTACCTAAGATGACATAGTCATCATTCAAACTGGAAACCTGGATTTCCATATTAATTACTACCACAAATTTGATAATCATTACCCTGCTACTGCTCTATCTCTGGGATGGTCTATTCAAGTGTAATTATCCTGGACACCATGGATAACATCAAAAAAGGTAATCCGCAGAATAGAATGTGTATATATGTATATATAAACACATTATACTTAATATGTATATATATATATATATAATCTACAGACCATCTTAGCAACTCAATATACTCCTCAAACATCTGAAAAAGTTGATAATGCAGCCAAACCCTCATATACCACGACCACTGCCACATTTGCTTTGAGAAGAATGCTGCTGTGGACAACCTAACAACCTAAGAATGACCGTTTCTCGACAAGTATAGTACATGAGAGAGCATGTCATGTTTTAGAAGGGAAGATGCTATATGGAATGCATTGCATGGCATTGCCTCATCACAAACAGCAAGGTATAGAAAGGGCATCTCAGTCTGTGGCAAGGTATACAGATCAAATCCCAGAAACAGTGATTAGCAAAGGAGGATGAATCTCCAGAAGTGTGAGTCAAGTAGTCACTAAAAACATTGAATACTACTGAGAGTTTTATGAAAAACACGAAAATAGACTCTGATGAAATGACTCACAATTTTCATGTCTAGTTGCACCAGAAAGACTGCAAAAAAATCTCAAAACTTTAGTGTTA